ATATACGGGCCAACCTCTCCATTTCCCATGTTCAATGAAGCTACTTAGGGATCAAGATCAGCAAGACCCACAGTCCCTTGCAAGGTAACCACTGTAGCTCTGTGCTGGTGGCCTCATCCCAGTCCCCTAGAGGCACTGTCAGCCCCTATGCCCAAGAAGCTGCTGCTGATGGCCCATATCAATGACTGCTACACCTCCACCAGGAGCTGCACTGCTACCCTAGGCACCTTTGCCAAGGTTACCTTTAATACTATCTTCAAGACCTACAGCTATCTCATCCTCAATACCTCAAGAAAGACAACATGTTCAATGAGTCTCCCTATCAGGTATTCACTGACCAACTTGTAAGACCCATACCAGAGTCTCTATGAAGGAGACCCAGGCTCCAGCTGTGGCTGCTATGTAGTGCTTTTATAGTATAAGAAAAATAAAGTTAATTAATTCAGACTCTTTGAAAAGGGAGGCAGATCCAGCCTGGGCAACATGGTAAAAAGCATAATAAGATCTAGACTTAACTTACTAAAATGTAAGCTTTTGCAGGCAGGGAAAAAATTTTAAAAACAGAAGATAAGAGAGTAGTTTTGAAAACAGGCTTAGAAACCTGTATTATAGTGACATAAAAAGATACTGTGAACATGTACAATGTTTAACTGTCTCTTCAGATATTTACCACTTTCTTTTGCTTATTGGATTTGACCTGCTGGGCTGGAGTAGATTTAGGCATATGTGTGTATGCAAACCTAAAAATAATGTGACCAATAAACAAGCAGCTGTGGCTATTTTTAGCCCTGGGCAGAGGAGCATCATTTAGCCTAGAAATAGTGAGGCAAGGACCCTGTTCCCTTGTTGGAAATAAATTGTTGATTGCCTTAACAACTGTTAGGGGCTGGTATAATGACAGTCTGGGCAGGACTCAAGGAAAGGATAATTTAAAATCAAGGAGCCAGACTATTTTGTGGGATAGATACAGTCATGCTAAAAAGTATAAAAGTCTGAATGAAACAGGCCGGGCGCGGTGGCTCACATCTATTATCCCGGAGGCCGAGGTGGCTGAATTGCCTGAGCTCAGGAGCTCGAGACCAGCCTGGACAACATGGTGAAACCCCATCTCTACTAAAATACAAAAAATTAGCCAGGCGTGGGGGTGTGTGCCTATAGGCCCAGCTACTCAGGAGGCCGAGGCAGGAGAATTCCAAGAACCCAGGAGGAGGAGGTTGCAGTGAGCCGAAATCACGCCACTGCACTCCAGCCTGGGTGACAGAGCAAGACTCCATCTCAAAAAAAAAAAAAAAAGTTTGAAACATATAAATAAAAATGGGATCTAGAATGTTAAAAAAAAATCAAATGGGAGATCATATAAAAATAGGGAGGATAACTGGGTATAAGAGATTCTGGAAGATGAAGGAGTTAAAACATTAAAGAACAAAGGGTGTTGTACACCATGGATTTCCTGGAATGAAAGCAAGACATGAAGATCATTCAAATAAAGAAAAATAGGAAAAGCTTAAGCACAAATTGAAGAAATTTTCCAAAGCTAATATTTAATGACAGAATAGGAATTTTCACGCTACAATAAGAATCTGAATATATTTATTTGAACTAGTGAGATTTAAAAAAAATCACTGTACTTTTCGGTAACAACTGGAGGCAAAGCATTAAAGCTGAGGACGATGTTTTGCATTTCTGTGTATCGTAAATTATGGGTAATGAGCTTTTTCATGCTAAAAGCCTTGTTAAATTACCTGGATATCTCAGATCTCTTAACCTTGAGCTGCATGGCTTCTTTCTCTCTGGCATGTTAGCATGTAGAAAAGCGTTTTAGCTCAGAGAGGTTCTATTTAACATGTCTAAAAATTAAACAACTTTAAATTGGAAATGTTACTATTTCTGTAATATTCTTGAGTTTCATAGGTACAATAGAAATCTTTTACAGATTAATCTTGAAGGCCACTAGAGCATCTTTTAGGGAAGGCTCTCTTTAAAAACCAGTGTCAATCATTACTTATTTATTGTTTGTTTATTTTTTTCTTTTTGGAGACAGGATCTTGCTTTGTCACCCAGGCTGTACAGTGGTGTGAACACAGCTCAGTGGTGTGAACACAGCTCATTGCAGTTGACCTCCAGGGCTCAAGCGATCTCCTGCCTCAGTCCTCAAACAGCTAGGACTTCATGGGCACATGCCACCATACCCAGCTAATTTCTGTATTTTTTTGTAGAGATGAGATTTCACCACAATGCTCAGGCTGGTCTCAAACGATCCACTTGCCTTGGCCTCCCAAAGTGTTGGGGTTACAGGTCTGAGCCACCAACTCTGGCCTGTTACTTTTTACTTCTAGAAGTCTAAAAGCTAGCTAAAAATTAAAATGGGTCCAGGTGTAGTAGCTCATGCCTGTAATCTCAGCATTTTAGGAGGCTGAGGCTGGCAGATCACTGGAGGTCAGGAGTTCGAGACCAGCCTGGCCAAAATGGTGAACCCCCATCTCTATTAAAAATATAAAAATTAGGGCAGGTGTGGTGGCTCACACTTGTAATCCCAGCACTTTGGGAGGCTGAGGTGGGCAGATCATGAGTTCAAGAGATCAAGACCATCCTGGCCAACATCGTGAAATCCTGTCTCTACTAAAAATACAAAAATTAGCTGGGCATGGTGGTACGTGCCTGTAGTCCCAGCTACTTGGGAGGCTGAGGCAGGAGAACTGATTGAACTCGAGAGATGGAGGTTGTGTCACTACACTCCAGCCTGGCGCTTGAGTGAGACTCTGTCTCAAAATAAATAAATAAAAATAAAAAGTAGCTGGGCGTGGTGATGCACATCCTAATCCCAGCTACCTGGGAGACTGAGGCACAAGAATCACTTGAAGCCGGAAGGCAGAGGTTGTAATGAGCTGAGATCATGCCACTGCACTCCAACCTGAGTGACAAAGCAAAATTCTATCTAAATAAAAAAAAAAAAGACTAAAATGCAAAGGGGAAATATATAAATCTACAAAGTCAAGGAACAGAATAAGAGAAAGTTTGTGGAAGAGGGAGAACAGATGGAGGAACAGTATAAATTTGTAGGGCAAAGGTCTTATGTAAAATATATTTTAAGGAAATATTGTTTCTGTTATATATATACTCAAACATACATATATATATACCCAGCCACAATGTATCTCTTACTGTCAAAAAGCTAATCCGTAGCTTGAAGTATACACACAAAGGAACATAGTTAAGAGAGCCAATCAGCATGGCAGAGCTAGTCAGGGCTTGGTACTAAGGTCACCACTTAGAACGAAGGTCAGACATGGATGAGGGGGCACCTATTTGAAATTCAAAATAAATAGCTGACGTCCTTCCTCAGAGATCAACTTTAATTATAATGAAACAGAGTATGAGCCACAGTTCATTTGCTGAGTTATTTCCCAGCTAAAGTAAACAAAAATCAATGATCATCAAGTGGATTTTGTTTCAAAGAGAACTACTAGTTTTAGGAAACACTTAAAAATATCTAAATTCTATTTAAATTTATATTAAAAGAACGTTACACATAAAGATATTTCTAATTACAACATCAGGTAACAGAGACATTTTGGTTAAACATATTCAATTTCTAACTATTAGCTTCCTTTAAAAGGGAATACCTAACGTTCAGAACAGTCTTCTATCGGATTCTGGGACACTGATTTCTCCTCATTCTAAGTCTCCAGGTATGGCTTTGCAATGTCCTTTGCTAACTGCCTCCTCTGCTCATAGCCTAAAATAATATTCTTAGCATTCTAACCTCATAACGGGAGACCCCAAAATAACAGTAGCTATGATTTACTGAACATTAATTATGTGTCAGACACTGTTCTAAAGTACTCTATATGTATCACTCATCCTAACTATCATATAACAGGTCCTATCACAGAAAAAAAAAACCCATTGAGAAAACATAAAAATTCATAATTTTTTTTTTTGTAGATAGGGGTCTCACTATGTTTCCAGGCTGGTCTCAAGAGACCCTCCTGCCTCCACAATTGAGTCACCACATTTGGCCCAGCACAACTGCTGACAGGCAATGAAGAACAAAAAATGAGCCAGGAGCAGTGGTTCAGGTCTGTAATCCCAGCAAGTATGCATCCCAGCTCTGCCACAAATATGCTCTAAGATCTTGGTTAAATTATCTCAAAGTACGTCTGTTTCGTTATCTGTAAAATAGGAATAATCCAAGAGAAAAGAAAGTATATGCCTATACAAAGTCTCATAGCTGCTTTATGCTGAATAAACAAGTTGTGTATCTTAATGAAATAGTACTGAGCAATAAAAAGTAATAAACGTATTGATCATTTCCAAAACAATTATGATGAGTGAAAGAAGGCCGACCCTAACCCCCGCAAAAAGACAAAGAGAAAACATACCCTCCGTTTATATCTAGTATTAGAAATAGTGACAAGAAAGCACAGTAGCTGCCTGGGGACCCAGTGGTAGTAGGGAAGAAGGGATTACAAATGATCACAAAGAGACTTGAGGAAACTTTTGAAGTGACAAATCTGTTCATTATCTTGACTGTAGTGATGGTTTTAGAGGTTTATACGTGTCAAAACTTATCAAACCGTAATGTGCACTTATTCTGTCAGTTATACCTCAGTAAAGCTGTTTTCTCAAAAGGTGTAACACAGATTTCACAGGGTCCTTGTTAATAATTAATAGGTTAATATACATAATACAAATAAAACAATATTTGTTGGAAAATATTGTTATTATAATTCAAAATTCTGATTCAGAAAAATACAAATTCAAATAATTTTTTGTACTTCTTCAGGCAAACCTAATACAAACTAATAAAAATAATGCCCATAAAAAGTTAAAAACCTATTAAAGAAAACAAATATTTTCACAAAGCATGTCACTAAAAACTTTAGAGATTATTTCATGTAACCCAGTCTCAGAATCTAAACCTGTGACAAAAAAGAATTTCACTATGAAACCTTAAGGAACTTAGCATTCGCTATGTAAAGTAAATTAGCATCACTTACCATATCTGTAGCTTGATCTTCTTTCCTTGTAATTCAACTGTTTTAATCTTGAAGTCTATTCCTACAATGCAGAAAAAGGTAAACTGTAACTGTGGCTTTACATTTGGCTATACTAAAATTAATCACAGTGAAAAGGCTCACACCTTTAAACTTGTCTGTGTTTGATTCCAGATATTTACCAAGTACGCAACACTGAGCAAATATATTCAATTTTCTTTCTTTTTTTTTTTGAGATGGAGTTTCGCTCTTGTTACCCAGGCTGGAGTGCAATGGCACGATCTCGGCTCACCACAACCTCTGCCTCCTGGGTTCAGGCAATTCTCCTGCCTCAGCCTCCTGAGTAGCTGGGATTACAGGCACGCGCCACCATGCCCAGCTGATATTTTGTATTTTTAGTAGAGACGGGGTTTCACCATGTTGACCAGGATGGTCTCGATCTCTTGACCTCGTGATCCACCCACCTCGGCCTCCCAAAGTGTTGGGATTACAGGCGTGAGCCACCGCGCCCGGCCCATATTCAATTTTAAACCTGAGAAATACAAGATCCAGGATAGTAGGAAAAACAGGTAAGGAAAGACCAAGTTTTGGGCTGGGCGTGGTGGCTCATGCCTCTAATCCCAGCACTTTGAGAGGCTGAGGCAGGCAGATGGCATGAGCCCAGGAATTCAAGATCAGCCTGGGCACATGGTGAAATCCTGTCTCTACTAAAAATACAAAAATTAGCCAGGTATAGTGGCAAACACCTGTAGTCCTAGCTACTCAGGAGGTTGAGGTGGAAGAACCCCTTGAACCCAGGGAGCAGAGCCTCTAACTGTGCCACTACACTTTAGCCTGGGCAACAGAACGAGATCCTGTTTCAAAAGAAAAGGGAAAAAAAAAAAAAAAAAAAAAGAGTTCTTAGAAATTAGGAAATAAAGTAAACTTTTAAATACCTAATATTCTAATGCAAAAGAATAAAAACATGTTTCCTAGTGGGGGAAAAAATATTGCCTTCGCTAACTTGTAGAATAAAAGAAAACTATCAGAGATAGAGTCATTTCATAATGATAAAACAGTCTTTTTTTTTTAAAAAAACAGTATATTCTTTAGGAAGGGATAAAAATACAAATGTTTAGCATGAAGCAAAAATTAATACAGCTGCAAAAAAAAAAAATACATAAACTTACAATTATAGTTGGAGACTTCAACATCCCTTCCCTCAAAAACAGATTTTTTAAGTAGACAGAAAAATCAATGCTACAGAAGACTTAAAACCACGCTACATTAACCAATTTAGCATAATTGACATATACAGAAATTTCCATCCAACAGCAACAGAATATATACCCTTTTCAAGTGCAGACTGAACATGTACCAAGATAAAACATAAGAGTTGCAAAAAAAGTTTCAACACATTTAAAAGTATTGAAGTCACCAGGCACAGTGGGTCATGCCTGTAATCCGAGCACTCTGGGAGGCCGAGGCAGGCGGATCACCTGAGGTTAGGAATTCAAGACCAGCCTGGCCAACATGGAGAAACCCCATCTCTACGAAAGAAATACAAAATTAGCCAGGCATGGTGGCACATGCCTGTAATTCCAGATACTCGGGAGGTTGAGGCAGGAGAACTGCTTGAACCTGGGAAGCGGAGGTTGTGGTGGGCCGAGATCAAGCCATTGCACTCCAGCCTGGGCAACAAGAGCAAAATTCCGTCTCAAAAAAAAAAGGAAAAATTAAAAAATTATTTGAGCATGGTGGTGGTACACATTAGTAATCTAAGCTACTCAGGAGGCTGAAGCAGGAGAATTGCTTGAACCCGGGAGGCAGAGGTGCAGTGAGCTGAGATCATGCCACTGCACACCAGCCTGGGTGACAAAGCCAGACTCCATCTCAAAAACAAACAAACAAAGAATATTGAAGTCATACAAAGTCTATTTTTGTTTCCTGGGGTTTTTTTTTTTGAGACAAGGTCTCACTCTGTCACCCAGAGTACAGTGGCATGATCTCAGCTCACTGCAACCAGCTTAAGTGATTCTTAAGCTCATCTCAGCCTCCCAAGCAGCTGGGAACACGGGGGCGAGCCACCATGCCTAGCTAACTTTTTATTTGTTTTTTAGGATAGGATCTCGCCATGTTGCCCAGACTAGTCTCGAACTCCTGAGCTCAAAGTGAGCCACTGGCCTTGGCTTCCCAAGGTCCTAGTATTATTACAGGCATAAGCCACTATACCTGGCCCAAAGTATGTTTTCTGTCCACAGCAAAACTGAACTGGAAATCAATAACAGAAAGACATCTGGGAAAATTCTCAAATATTTGATAATTCATGGGTCAAAAAAGAAATTATAGTGAAAATTAGAAAATTTCTGAAATGAATTAAAATGAGAACATAATATCAAAATTTGTAGGATATAGCTAAAGCAGTATTTTAGAGAGAAATTCCTAGTATTACATTAAAATTTCACGTTAGGAAATAAAACTATAACAAAATGAAAGCATTGTTTCAGAAGGAGACAAACGCCAAAAGAACAGGTTAAGTCAGTCTTTTTCTTTTTTTTTTTTTTTTGAGATGAAGTCTTGCTCTGTCGCCCAGGCTGGAGTGCAGTGGTGCGACCTTGGTTCACAGCAACCTCTGCCTCCCAGGTTCAAGCAACTCTCCTGCCTCAGCTTCCTGAGTAGCTGGAACTACAGGCGCCCACCACCACGCACAGCTAATTTTTTGTGTTTTTAGTAGAGACAGGGTCTCACTGTGTCAGCCAGGATGGTCTCAATCTCTGGACCTCGTGATCCTCCCGCCTTGGCCTCCCAAACTGCTGGGATTTACAGGTGTGAGTCACCGCGCCCGGCCTAAGTCAGTAATTCTTAAAGCATGTTCCAAAGATCAAAAAAGCCACGTTTTTAAAAGCAGTCCTCACAGGACTTATTTGACAGAGTAGAAAAAGGTTACTAGAAAAAGGTACCTTCAAAACAAAGTCAATCCCGAAAAAGGCATAAGCTGCAAACTAAACATTACTAGAAGATTCATTCTTCATTTATTCATCACTATGGCAAGGACTCCACAAAAATACCCAAGTCTGGCATATCATCCTTATATTTTCTACATGAGTATTCTGAAGCTGCTCTGTGACTACATCATCTTATGAATGACAGCAATAGTCCATTTGACTTGAAGGCAGTAAGTGGAGTAAAAAGCAAAAAGCGAAGTGAAAGAAAGGGCTAATGTCTGTTTATAAAATGAATATTAAGTAAATCTGCAGACAAATTTGTGTTATCAAATCCCAGTAATAGAGCAGTCCCAATAAATTTATTTCACTACAAAACATCCAAAAATGTTTCATATATCAAGCACACTGTCATTAGATTTTTCCAAGAGAAACTGCTATATGCCCGAAAAAAAGACAAAACTAAAAACCAGAGCAGATAAACACGCTTTACTTGCACTTTGGTGGTGGCAGGGCTGTGGAGAACATTTACCAAAGAACTTGCTTTTTGGAGGCGGGCTGTCCCTCTGTCACCCAGGATGGAGTGCAGTGGCACAGTCATGGCTCACTGCAGCCTCAACCTTCTGGGCTCAGGTGATCCTCCCACCTCAGCCTCCTGAGTAGCTGGGACTACAGGTGTATGCCATTCTGTCCAGCTAATTCTTGTATTTTTTGTAGAGACGACACCCTGCTCTGTTGACCAGGTTGTTGCTCCAACTCCTGGGCTCAAGTGATCCTCCTGCCTTAGCCTCCCACAGTGCTGGGATTACAGGCGTGAGCCACTGCATCCAACCTGGGCTTGCATTTTTAACAATCATACTGAGAACACAATGAAAGGTCTAGGTCTGGAGCCTTTAAGCAGCTGGAACCAAGACCCTTGTCTGAAACCCAGAAAAGGACTACAATCTTAGTGAGAGCTGCCTGGGGAAAAAACAAAACACAACTATTCACTGGCAAAGGGAGATCATAAGGAAGCGTTTGGTATTAGGCCTCATGGTTCAGATTTGACAATACTAATACATAAAAAATAATCCTTGGCTATTAACAACAAATGTAAAAACTATCTAAAGGTACAAATCCTTTCATCAGAACCTACAGGATTCCCACAAATAAAACTATTGAATACTAGCTAACAATACAAAATTAAGAAACATTAAATACCATATAAAACCCACTTTGACTAATCAACAAAGACAACTGAACCCCCAAATTTTCAGATGATAAAATAATTCCTTAACCTGATTAAAATTACTAACGGGGTGTGGCCAGGCACAGTGGCTCACGCCTGTAAACCCAGCACTTTGGGAGATTGAGGTGGGCTTATCACTTGAGGTCAGTTCAAGACTAGCCTGGACAATGTGGTGAAACCCCATGACTACTAAAAATACAAAAATTAGCCAGGCATGGTGGCATGTGCCTGTAATCCCAGGTACTCGGGAGGCTGAGGCTGCAGTGAGCCAAGATCGCACCATTGCACTCTAGCCTGGGCAAGAGAGCGAGACTCCGTCCCCCCCCTCCAAAAATATATATATATATAAAATAAATTTTAAAATAAGGCCAGGTGTGGTGGCTCATGCCTATAATCCCAGCACTTTTGGAGGCCGAGGCAGGAGGGTCACCCGAGGTCAAGAGTTTGAGACCAGCCTGGCCAACATGGTGAAACCCCCATCTCTATTAAAAATACAAAAATTAGCCAGTTGTGGTAGTGGGTGTCTGTAATCCCAGCTATTCAGGAGGCTGAGACAGGAGAATCACTTTCACTTGGAGGGCAAAAGTTGCACTAAGTCAAGACCATGCCACTGCACTCCAGCCTGGGTGACAAGAGTGAAACGCCCTCTCAAAAAAATAAATAAATAAATAAATAACAAAATAATTAAGGGGGCTTTTTTTTTTTTTTTTTTTTTTTTTTTTAGTAAGGGAAAAGGCTGGGTGTGGTGGCTTGTGATATAGCACTTTGGGAGGCCAAGGTAGGAGAATCGTTTTTGTCTGGGAGTTCAAGACCAGCCTGAGCAACATGGCAAAGCCTTATCTCTACAAAAAATTAGTCATACATGGTGGTGCACACCTGTATTGCCAGCTACTTGGGAGGCTGTGATGGGAGGATCACCTGCGTCCAGGAGGTTGAGGCTCCAGTGAGCTGTGATCGTGCCACTGCACTCCAGCCTGGGCAAAACACAATAACACCCTGTCTCAAAATAAAATAATAAACATGAGAAAAACGGAAACAAGGTAGTAAATTTTTCATAAAGCTTGACTTTAAAAGCTGTCCTTTTACTGAGATTACAGCCAGCATAAGTTTTGAAAAAGACAAGCTGATTTGTTTTCTCTAGGCTTTCAGGATAAAACTGTGAAAAATGCATCCCAGTATCAAAGTCTTCAGTCTACATGACATCCCTGTTCATCATGCTTTCTCATGTCTCTCATTTAGCATATGCTACTTCTCAAATCCTCTCCTCATCCCAGTTTTCCTGGTAAACTTCCATTTAACTTTCAAGACTCAGTTTTGCTCCTGGGGAACAAGCACTAAAGAGGTATCTATGCAAGCCTCAACTGATAATGAACATTTAATGATGCAATCTGTCTAAAACACATAAACAAACCTAAAGGTAAATCAAACTTAAGAAAATATGTGCTGTAATCTTAAATATATATAAATATATATGTGAGATCATTAAAACCTGTTAGGTGTTTCTAATGAATATTGGTTTGATGTGTATTGCTGACATCATCTTTCCATGACGAGAGTATATACCGATAATTAAAACTTTTTTATAAAGACTTCACAAATTTTTCTAGGGAAGGAATTATTTTTGATTCAAATATTCTGGGCATCCAGGGAAGAAAGAAGAAAACAAAGTCCTTGCCTATAAACTTCTGTGAAGAGGTTCTGGGGTAGGGAAATGCCCACCATGTAAAAACAAGAAACAAAATGATTCAGTGAGTTTCCTGCCCACACCTTCCCTCTACTCTGCATCTCCTTTTTCATAACTAACCTCTCACTAAGAAATGGTCTAAAATCAACCTTTGACAAAACCTGTTATTCCCCAGAACCTACAATAACACCCCTACCCCTTCAAACCCTTGGGTTTACCTTATTGCTCTTCTCTTAATTTGAGCCAGTCTGCTTTTTAATCAGTCAAAACCTTTCAGCTTGCCCCTACTGTTTCTCATATAGAATCAAAAGAAAAAGGGGCCATTTACTCACCATTAACCTAACCCTATTTCTACAGCCCATATTTTCTTTTTCTTTTTAATTATTATTTTTTTTAATAAACAGGCATGAGTCTATGTCTGAACATATTTTGTTTTCCTTTAAGAATTTCTCAGAAAATCACCCTAAAATGACGCGGTTGTCAAGACTAACTCAGAACATGACCAACAACTTTAGCCACGCATACAATTTATTAATTAATTTTAATAATGAGCCTGACAACTGATAATATTTCAGGAAACCAGCCTGAAGAAAGATGAAATAAGGATACAATCTCCCTTGGGATGAAAACCAGGCATCACTGGAAAATACCTAAGAATTTGGGCTGTTTTAAGGCACCTATTAAATCTTTCCTTTGAAGAGACAGGGTTTCACCATGTTTGGCCAGGCTGGTCTTGAACTCCTGACCTTAGGTGATCTACCCACCTTGGCCTCCCAAAGTGCTGAGATTATAGGCGTAAGCCACTGCACCCGGCCAAGGCACCTACTTAATCTACATAGAAGCCTCATTTTGGACTCCATGAGTTTCCCTCACAACTTCATCTTGACAATAATCACAACTACTAGGCTCTGTTACTAAACCTCTTTAATTTGGAGGTTAAGGATCCTTCCTCACTGAGTTTCCTCTCCATTTCACTTTTTATCAAACTTCTTGAAAGCTACCTATACATGTTATGTCGAGTTTTTTCTCCTCCCATCTCTTGAATCCTTTCCAAACAGGCTTTGTTATTAACCACTCCCACCAACATACACACACACACACACACACACACACACACGCACACACCCCTCACTATGGTCAATGTCCTCATCTGATATTTTTTTTTTCTTTTTTTTTAGCAGCAGAGTCTCATGAAGTGGCACCATCTTCAGCTCATTGCAATCTCTGCCTTCCAAGTTCAAGTGATTCTCCTGTCTCAGCCTCCTGAGAAGCTGGTACTACTTGTGGGCACACCACATCCAGGTAATTTTTATATTTTTGATAGCGGCAAGGTTTCACCATGTTGGCTAGGCTGGTCTCGTACTCCTGACCTTAGGTGATCCACTCACCTTGGCCTCCCAAAGTTCTGGGATTACAGGCATGAGCTACCGTGCCTGGTCCTCATCTGATCTTACTAGCTGTAGTTGAAGGAGTTCTTCATTGTTTTCTTCATGTAAACTCCTGACTTTCCTACCTTTCTAGCCACTCATCAATCTTCACTGCTGGTTTCTCTTCATCTCTCTGACCCCTAAAAACTGAAGTGGACTTCTCTTTTCTATCTTGATGCATTCCCTAGTTTTATGGCTTTAAATTCCACATACACCGATGGTCTCTCACCTGAACTCCAAACCCAAGATACCCAATTGCTTATTAGTTATCTCCAAATCCCATCTCTCATAAAGACTAAAAGGAAAACTCTTTTAAATCCATAAATAAATAAGGCCCTACATATTCTCCTACGTCCCCCTTTTTACCCCGCCCTCAACATTTTCTACATGGTCTCACTCTGATCTAGCTAACTGTATTGCCTTCCTTTTTGAGGCTCTCCGCACACAACAGGCAGGTTTGCTTCTCACTGCCTTTCCACAAAGGTACTATTTCCCTAACCTCTGACTATCCTTGTCCATCATGGCTCTTTCCCCTAGCTACCCTATCCTAACCTGCAATATTTCTCCATGTTCCCCACCCTCCGTCTGTTAACACTTCCTAATCTTCTTCCTGACCTTTGAACTTAAATGTGTCCTTATTTCTGTTATCTGTCTCATGCTACCAAAATGTGAGACCCAAAAGGGGAGATTTTTATCTGTTTAACTGAGTTAAATTCCCTGCACCTAAGAACATTATCTGATATTTAGCAGGTATTCAAAAAAGTATCCGTCGAATAAACAGATAAATGGTGTTTTCTGGAGAAATTAAAGAGTCCCTGAGAAAAATGTTTCACCCTTTAGTTGAAACATCACTTGACAAGCCCCATCCTTTTCTACTCTGCTTTCAATCAGCTTTTTAGAGCCTCAGACCAAAGGCTCCAATGAGATAGCAAAACTTTTTTTTTTTTTTTTTTAAGAGACAGGGTCTCATTCTGTTGCCCAGGCTGGAGTGCAGTGGTGTGATCTTGGCTCACTGCAACCTCTACCTCTCAGGTTCAAGTCATTCTCCTGCTTCAGCCTCCAGAGCAGCTGGGACTACAGGTGGGCACCACCACAGCCAGCTAACTTGTATTTTTAGTAGAGATGAGTCTCGAACTCCCAGACTTATGTGGTTCACCCTCCTCGGCCTCCCAAAGTGCTATTACAGGGACAAGCCACTGCGTCCAGCCAGATATCAAAACAATTTAACAAAAAAAAAGTTAACAGAAGCAATATAAGACATAACAAATTAGAAAAGCAAAGCAGCTCTGACATCCAACAGAAGTTTGAAAAAGAACAGAGAAAGTAACATATAGAAAATAATCAAAAGTATTATGCAAGAATGCAGAACCAAAACAATCTACTTTTAAACTCAAAGACCCTCCAAGAACCTAGCATGAAGAACAATGAACATAAAAGTTATAGCAAAGCACATCACAGCGAAATTTCAGAATACCAGAAAGTTTCTAAAAGCACACACAGAAACAAACAAGACCACATTAAAACATCAAGAACAACTCTCAACTTCTCAATAACAACACTAGAATCCAGAAGACAAAAGCACAGTATCTTTTAAAAATACTTTCAACCTATATCCAGCCAAAACTGAATGAAACACATTCCCAGACACAAAAGATCTCAAAATATTTAGCTCCCAAGCATCCTTTCTAAGATAGTGCTAAGAGATAGCTTTACCAAACCAGCAAAGAAGAAGAAATGAAATCCATTCAACAGTGTGAAGTAAATGGCAGACCACACTGGCCTAGAGGGCAACTAGTTCAGAACAGAAAAGTTCCAGGAGGTATGTTTCCTGGGGGTGAGAAGGAGGAAATAGTATTAGTAGAATCTGTTTGAAAAACAAAAGGATCTAACAATTCTACATGAGATAAAGAAAAGACAGTGCCTTGAAATCTAGGCAAATGTAACAAATAACTGTAAACTAAAATAAAATTTAAAAGTTGTACAAAAAGGGAAATGCAATTATAGTACACTATTTGGCTTAGCAGTTAAACAAAATATTTGTTATTACTAACTGAAATGATAAAGAAAGAGGTACTAGGAATATCTGGTGGTGTAAGAGTATTAAATTCTCATCTTCCATAACAAAAAGAGTGCTTTTAAGACTAGGTCTTTTTAAAGTTTAGAAACATGACTAGAGAATAGGAGATAAATTTAACAGAAGAAAAGCCAAAAATGTTTGAGAAAGGTAAGGCACAGGTGCATATGGGGCTAGGATTTGTTGCTGCAGTTGCTGCTTCACTGTCACAGCCCTAAAGTAATATGACTTTTAAAAATATGTACCTATTCATAGAAATAAAAATTAGGTTAACAGAGAAGGAGGTATGTTTACAAATGCATTCTCTCCACTACTTAACAACTTGAACTCAATCCATCACTTCTTTTTTTTTGTTTTTTGAAACTGGCTCTCACTGTCTCCCAGGCTGGAATGCAGCGGCACAATCCCTGCTCACTGCAACCTCCGCCTCCTGAGTAGCTGGGATTACAGGCACCCACCACCATGCCCAGCTAATTTTTGTGTTGTTGGTAAAGACTGAGTTTCACCATTTTGGCCAGACTGGTCTCAAACTCCTGACTTCAAATGATCTTCCAGCCTTGCCTCCCGACATGCTGGGATTACAGGCATGACCCATGGAGTGTGGCCTCAATCATCACTCTCTACAAATAAATATATTTCTGAGCATGGCCTCAAGCCACCTCTCCAGTCTTATTCCCTTCAGTTTTTCTCCTGTAGTCACATTCAAACACAACTTTAAAAATGCTAACTTTTTTCAAGTAAATACCATTGTTATATTAGCAGGTACTTTCCACCCTCCTCCACCATATATACCCACAAGCAAACACCTAAG